CAGAGGGGAACCCTCAGTGAGGAGAGAAGCTGAGAGCCAAAATTCATGCGAGCTCGAGGGCGCTGTGAGGGACTGATGGTTGGCAGCCTGCTGGCCAGCCCTCCTCACCAGGGAGAGGTGCTCCTTGTTCCCAAACTCTGGTTACCGATCCTGCCACGCGTTTTGGGGCTGCTGCTGGTGGCTGATGCCCCCTGCTTCTCCGTGCAGGGCCCGGTGGGACCAAAAGGGGACCAGGGCTCGCCTGGCTTGCAGGGCTCGCCGGGGCTGAAGGTAACGCTTTGCATTCCCTCACCCTTCCTGAGCCCGGGCATCGGTGCCAATCCATCCACCCCCAATTGTGCCTCCTGCTTTCCTGCAGGGAGAGAAGGGAGAGCCCGGCGTCATCATTAGCCCGGACGGGACCATCATTGCTGCGAACGTGAAGGGAGAAAAGGTGGGTGGGGAGAACAGGGGCCAGGCACACATGGTGCCCAGGGTGCGGTGCTAATTCCCCGTCTGCTGTCCACAGGGGGAGCCTGGGCTGCGGGGACCGATGGGCCCGTCTGTAAGTCAGCGCCGCCGTCCTCTTCCTCCTCCTTGTGCCCCGTGGGGAGGGAAGGGGCTGCTCCCGTGGCTCTGACCGCCCCTGTCCTCTCTCCTCTCGCTCCAGGGCCCCCACGGCCGAGCAGGGCTGAAGGGAGAAATTGGCTTTCCGGGCAGACCCGTAAGACCCGCTCCTGGTTTTGGTTGTCCCCTGCTCCCCGGCACGTCTGCGGGGGGTGGTGGGCTTAGGAGGATGTGCCTCAAGGGCAGGGGCACCAGTGACCCCGGGATGGGGACAGGGACAGGGACAGGGACAAGGCTGACGTGTGCTCATCCACAGGGACGTCCCGGCATGAACGGGCTGAAGGGCGAGAAGGGCGACCCGGCGGACATCAGCGGCATGCTGGGCCTGCGGGTGAGCGCGCCTGGCCTGGCACAGGGGCTGTGGGGAGGGGACAGGGGACCAAAAAGAGGCTGCCTGGGGGGCTGTGTCCCCCCAGCATGTGGGCTCACACATGGCAGAGCCTGCTGGGTGCCGCGGGGCACAGCCACAGCCCTGTGTGGGGACGTGTCGCACCGCCTGCTTTGCACTGGTGACACCCTGATGTGTCTTCTCTCCTCCCCCAGGGCCCCCCTGGTCCCCCCAGGTCCCCCCGGCCCTCCCGGCCCTCCTGGCAGCATCGTGTACGACAGCAACAACGTGAGTAGTGCCACCGTGGGCTCAGCGCTCGCCACCCCCATCCCGTTGTCCCACGGAGGGGACACACTGGTGGGGATGTGGCCGTCCCCACAGCTGCTCGCTCTGCATCCCCGCAGGCTTTCAGCGACGCCAGCCGCCCTGCACTGCCGGCCTTCCCAGGGTAAGGGGGTGTCCTCACCCCAGCACCTCCCAGCGGGCTGGGGACCCCAGCAAGGCGTCCCGCTGGCCTCTGAGGCGGCATCGCCCTTCTGCTCTCGGCAGGTTTCCCCCAGTTCCCAGGGCAAAAGGGAGAGAAAGGAGACGTGGGTGCGCCGGGGCCCCCAGGTGAGTGACACAGCGCCCCGGGCAGAGGGGTGGCGGGCGGCTCGTGCCCACGTTACCCCTGCTCTCTGTCTCCCCAGGCCAGTTCCCCTACGACCTGAGCCACTTCGGTGCCAGCCTGCGGGTAAGGCCTTCTCCCCGTGCCCCCTGCTGGGGTCCCAACCATTTGGGGCTCCCCGGTTGCTCGTCCTAAGGACACGCTGTCCCGCAGGGTGACAAGGGGGAGGCAGGTCCCAAGGGCGAGAAGGGCGAGCCGGGCAGGCACCTCTCTGTATGGCCCCAGCGTCATGGGGCCACCAGGGCCACAGGGCTACCCGGGCCTGCCGGTGAGTACCCCACATCCCACCTGCACCGTGCTAGGGAGCTCCCCACGGCACGGGGAGCAGCGAGGCTCTGGGCACTGCGCTGTGGGGGCTGCACTCCCACCTGCTTTGCTTTAGGGATCCTCTCTCACATCACCTAGGGTCCCAAGGGGGACAGCATCGTTGGGCCACCGGGGCCTCCCGGACCGCAGGGACCCCCCGGCATCGGATACGAGGGGCGGCAGGGCCCTCCTGGCCCTCCCGGCCCCCCCGGGCCGCCCTCCTTCCCAGGCCCCCACAGACCAGGTGAGCGCCTGCCCCGTGCCCCTACCCACACCCCGGGATGGGGCATCCCATCCCCACCTCACCTTTCCCCCCCCAGCTATCAGCATCCCCGGCCCCCCCGGACCACCGGGGCCCCCCGGCCCCCCGGGCAGCAGCGGGACAGTCCCTGGGGGTGAGTGTGGGTTCTTTTTGGGGCGGGTGGCAGCACGCAGGGGCTGAGCCCTCTGAGCCATCTGAGCGCCCGGTGCACTGTGCCCGCAGCTGCGCGCCCTGCCCACCTACCAGGCCATGCTGAGCGCCGCGCACGAGCTGCCCGAGGGGGGGCTCGTCTTCGTGGCCGACCGGCAGGAGCTCTACGTCCGCCTGCGCGGGGGCTTCCGCAGGGTGCTGGTGAGTCTGGGGGTGCAGCTGGCACCAGTGCTCGGGGGGATGCCGGCGTGGCGGGGGCGGCTGCGCGCTCACGTGCCGTGTCCTTGCAGCTGGAGGAGCACACCCTGGTCCCCAGCTCGGCGCTGGTGAGTCCCCCATCCCTGTCCCCACCACATCCCTGGTGCTGGGATCTGGGGGCGGCACAGCCCCTGAGCTCTCCCCCCTCCCCCAGGACAACGAGGTGTACGACAAGCCGCCCAGCGTCCACTACGGGGGGTCCCCGCACCCTCTCCAGCCCCGCGGGCCCCTGCACCCCCTGCGCAACCACAGCCCGCCGCCCACCGCCCGGCCGTGGCGCGGGGACGAGGTGGTGGCCAACCAGCACCGCCTGCCCCAGCCGCCCCTGCTGCAGCAGCACGAGCTCCTCAACAGCTACTACGTCCAGCGCCGCCCGGAGCCGGCCCCTGTGGCCGCCCACGTGCACCAGGATTTCCAGCCTGCTGTGAGTGCCCTGGGTTGAGGCTGGGAGGGAGCTGAGGGGACTGGACTGTGGTGTCCCTCACTGCTGGTTTTGTCCCCTTTGGCAGCTGCACCTCGTGGCCCTCAACGCGCCGCTGAGCGGTGGCATGCGCTGGCATCCGCGGCGCCGACTTCCAGTGCTTCCAGCAGGCCCGGCAGGTGGGGCTGGCCGGCACCTTCCGCGCCTTCCTCTCCTCCCGCCTGCAGGACCTCTACAGCATCGTGCGCAGGGCTGACCGTGCCACCGTGCCCATCGTTAACCTGCGGGTACGGCCCCCACCCCTTCCCCGAGCCCCTCGCCACACCCCCTGTGCCATGGCCGTCCTGCCTGGCACCAGCATGGGGCTGCGGGGGTCCCGGGATGGGCTGACCCCCCATTTCTGCCCCCCAGGACGAGGTGCTCTTCAGTAACTGGGAGGCTCTCTTCACCGGCAGCGAGGCCCCGCTGCGGGCTGACGCCCGCATCCTCTCCTTCGACGGCCGGGACGTCCTGCGGGATTCGGCGTGGTGAGTGCGGGGACGGGGCTGCTGGTGGTGCAGGATGCGGCCACGACCCACTGCAGGCAGGGAGGCAGAGAGGGGAATGGTTTGGAGCAGGCACTGGGTACCGCATGCTGCATCCCTCTGCGGCCACCCCTGGGCACCGGGTGCCCTGTGTCGCGTCCCACTGCGTCCATCTCCACGGGTACCAGCTGGGGACCTGGCTCTGAGGCTGGGGATCAGCTCCTGCTGCAGCAGCCTCACCCCTCTCTGCCTTCCAGGCCGCAGAAAAGCGTCTGGCACGGCTCGGATGCCAAGGGCCGGCGCCTGCCCGAGAGCTACTGCGAGGCGTGGCGGACGGAGGAGCGCGGCACCAGCGGGCAGGCCTCCTCGCTGAGCTCGGGCAAGCTCCTGGAGCAGGCGGCCAGCAGCTGCCAGCACGCCTTCATCGTCCTCTGCATCGAGAACAGCTTCATGACCGCTGCCAAAAAATGACCCCGCTCGCCGAGGGCTGCACGCCTGCCTCCCCGGGGAGGGGCTGCTCCCCGCCACGCTCCTGCCTTCGCCCCGCTGGGTTCCTTCTCCCCCCAGACCTAAAGCCAAAGAGACGCTCGCCTCCGTCCCTGCTGATCAGGGCAGCCGTGGGCTGGCAGCCTTCCTCCTCTTCCTCCTCTCGTAAACACCACTTCTCTTCTAACCCCGTGTGTTTAACCACTGCAGCTGGATCCTTGTGCCGCCCGCCCGCTGCCCCTCCCTGCTCAGATGCTCTTTTTGGGGAGGCTGGGTGCAGGGGGGACACGCTGTGGGGAGGTTTTTAGGAGATGCCGTGCTGTGTGCCTTGCTGGGAAGCCTGGCTGCGTCCTCCCCAGGAGCTGTGGCATCTCCTGGCAGCCCGAGGACCCCAGACATCCCCTCCCCAGGTGAGTAGCTGTCCCCTGGCGGCGGTGCGGCTCCCCAGCGGCTCTTCTCCTGCAGTCTCCGTCCTCCCCTGGTAAGCTCCTTCCCAGGCAGCCCCGCACCTCATCATCCTCACCTCTGTCCCCCTTTCCTCACTGGGCACAAGGTGAACCCTGGGGGTCCGGTCCCCGATATCCACCCCAAAGCTCCCCACCCTTACTACCACCCCTGCACAGGGCCAGGGTCCCGTCCCCTCCATGCGCCCTTGGGACCCCTGGCTGCGCCCGTGCCCCTGCCCCGGGTCCCTTGGGCTTTCGGCACAGGTCAGCAGGGACCGGGGGGGCTCACGGGGCAACGGGGCAGCCCCAAAGCCGGGGCAGGAGCGGGGCAGCCCGGCGTGCCCGTGGCATGTGTTTACATGCGTTTGCGTGTGTGTGCGTGTTGACCACATGTGGTACCGAGGCCAAACACCGCGAGCACCCGCCAGGCCACCGGCCTTGCACCCGGGGGGGCTGCGGCGGAGCAAAGCCAAGTTTGCATTGGTGTGGGCAAATCCAAGGTGCTAAAAAAAAAACAGAAAGAAAGGAAAAAAAAAAAAAAAGATAAATCTGTAACTAGCTTTTTATTATTGTATGGAAATTATTACCATAAAAGCTGTGCGAGTCACACGGCCTCTATTTCTTACAGTCTACTGTATTTTGTGTAATTAATGCAATTTAAAGCCTGTGGATCTTTATATTTTTGTCCGTTGTGTCCCATAAACCATTTTCTAAAGGCACTGAATAAAGAAATGTTATCCTCTTGTAGCCTGGCTCCACACAGCTCTGCAGGACGATGGGGAGCCGGTGCCCGGGCCCCCCTGGACCCCCGCCGCTCCCCTCGCGTGGTACCTGGTGGTGCTGCCGCGGGCACCCTGCCTCCGCTCTGGTCGTGTTTGGGGCCACGTCAGCCCCCAAAAGGGGTGGGAAGAGCAAGCCTCGGGGCTGGCTGCTGGCTCTGCGCCACGCCAGCATCCTCCTCTGCACCCCACGGAGCAGCTGGGGCAGAAGGTGGGTCCCTGCATCCTCAGGACCAGCACACGCCGGTGGTGGTGGTGGTGACGCTCGGTTACCGAGCCCTGACCCGCTGCCGGGGCCAGGCGCTGTGCCAAGGGAGCCCGTCTGTCGGTCTGTCTGTCCATCCAGCTCTCCGTCCGTCCTGCCCAGCTGGGTGTTGACACTCAGGCTTCCGTGGCGTCTGCCTCTGGGCTCTTCTCCCGCACCGCAGCCGTGGCGGGGACCGGCTCCGGTGGCTGCGCGCGGCGGCTGTGCCGGACGCCCACGGCGACGGCCACCATCAGGTAGGCTGCTGCCAGCAGCATGAAGTAGCCGAAGTAGACGTAGAACTGCAAGAGAGCGGCGCCTGCAGCGAGCCCTGCGCCTCCTGCGCCCCTCCTCCCCCCGCCACGGGACCCCTGCCCTCCTCGGCGCCCTACCTGGGGATGCACGGAGAGGCCCAAGCCCCTCTTGTCGGCCACGATGATGGTGATGATGGTCTTCAGCACGGTGCCGAAGAAGGTGTTGACCCCGAAGACGAGCGCGCAGAGCTCTTTGGAAAGGGAGGTAGCAATCTGGAAACTGGGAGATGGGGAGGGCGGTGAGCGCCGGCCCGGCCACCGGTGGGGGGTGGCAGCATGAGCCGGCCCCCCACGCACCCCAAAAGCCTCCCAGGAGGGGTCGGGGTAGCACGCACATGGCGATGGGCACCAGGAACTGGTAGGAGCCGCGGAAGAGGACGTAGGCGGCGTAGCACAGCCAGATGTTGCTGGTGGTGTTCATGAGCATCAGCAGCCCCGCCTGGACGGCCGTCACCAACCCGATCACCAGCGCCGACCACAGCGCCCAGCGGATCTTCACGTGGCCGGCCACGAAGGAGGCGATGGCCCCTGTTTTGGGGGGAGGGGACACACAGGGGACACCGTGAACTCCCACCCCACAGGCTGCTGCTCCTGCATCGTGCCCTCAACCCTCCTCCTGGGTACTGCACCGCGTGAAGCAGCGTTACGACCGCCTTCCCCAGGACGGAGGGGCTCCCACCCCACCCCGAGCCGCAGTTTCCCCAAGAGCACAGCCTACCCAGCAGCGTGGAGGCGGCGTCCACCCCGCCGTTGTACACCCGGCGGTTGTCCTTGGCCGGGTAGATCTCGTTCCAGAGGATCTGCACGTAGTACAGCACCAGGTAGTAGCCGGCCGAGTTGAAGACCCACCAGCAGGACCAGAGCTGGAGCTGCGACTGCTTGGCCAGGGCGCACACCTCCCGCAGCATGCGGCACAGCACCATGTCCCTCCAGCCCCCCTGTGCCCCCTCGCCGTCCCCCCCGGCCATCTTATCCAGCTCGGTGGGCGCAGCAGCCCCGTTGCAAGCCCCCTCGGGCCGGTTGAAGAAGAGGCTGCGCTTGGGCCGCTCCAGGAAGAGGGTGAGGAGGAGGCCGAAGGTGACGAAGCCCAGCGAGACGTAGTTGAGGGTGAGGAAGGGGACGCCGCCCAGCGTGACGCAGAGCTGCCCCAGCACCGAGCTGGTGAAGACGCCCAGGAGCACAGCGGTGCGCGAGTAGCTGGCCATGCGCTGGTAGCGGGACGGGGCGACGAGGGAGAAGATGTAGGAGGAGTAGGCGATTCGGGCGGCCATGGTGACGCCGTAGAAGAACTCCATCAGCTGCATGGCCAGCACGGAGGTGCCCAGCACCAGCAGCAGCCAGATGGAGATGTGGCTCAGGCTCTGCAGCACCAGCACGGGCTTGTAGCGCAGGTAGTCGGTCAGCAGGAAGATGGGCACCAGCACCGCCACGTACGAGTAGCTCAGCACCGGCGTGATCTCGTTGGTCACCTGCGGCGCGCGGAGGGAGGCTGAGCGCGGGGCCGGGGCTCCTCCTCGGGAGGAATTTGGCCCCTGTGCGCCCGGCCAGGCCCCCTGCTGCGGCAGGAACACGGCGTTCCCACGGCGGCTGGGAGTGGGGCCAGCACTGCGAGGCGGGGGGGATCCTCGCCTAACCCCCTCGCTGCCAGAGACCCCGGAGCTGCCCCCTCCCAGCCCCTGCACCTCGGGGTCCCCCCTGCTCCCAGCTGGCACAGTGAGGGGACACCCAGCCCAGAAGTGCCTCATCTCCTGCCCTGCCAAGCTCCTTGCACCCCAAAAGCACTTTCCAGGCATGCCAGGGGCAGAGCAGCCACCCAGCTCTGCTCCATCACGGGGGCAGATATGGGGATGCTCCGGCTGGCCCCTGGCCGAAAAGGGGTGCACCAGGGGGGAGAAGCACAACTCACCTCCTCCCGTGTGAAGTTCTGGTCGGGCCCCAGCAGGTAGGGGGTGATGAAGCTCTCCCCGGGCCGGATCTGCGTCATGAAGCCGTAGAAGCAGAGGTAGAAGACCTGCAGCTTCCAGCGCTGGTCCGGCGCCTGTCTCCGAGGGCGGCTTCTTGCTCTCATCCTGCTTGGCCATGGTGCTGGTGGCGCGGCGGTGGGACGGCAGCTCCGGCCCCGGCACCGTCATCTAGGAGGGTGCTGCCACACTGAGCTGCTCCTCTGCAGCCGCGGGCACCCCTCGGCACATCGAAGGACACGCCGCCGCGGCGTCTGGGGAGAGAGCAGCGTTTGGCACGGGATCCAACCCCTCCAGAGCAGCAAGGCAAATAAATACCGCTACCTTCTCTCCCCGGGAGACGTTCCTGCAACAACAGGAGCCCGCAGAGATCAGAAAAAAGGCTTTATTATTGCAGAAGGAGGCCCCCCCCCGGTTCGGGCGGCGTTTTCAAAGCACGCATAAAGATCTGACGGATGCACGCGCCGCGCTGCCCATCCTCCCCCACCCTCACCACCGCCCTTCCCTCCTGTTTTGAAGCCACAGGGGGGGTTGCCCCCTCCCCAAAGCAATGCTCCCCTTTGGGCTGAGCTGCTCAGGATGTTTGCCCAGGGGATGGGGAGGGCGAGACGGCCGAATACCAGGTTCAGGGGCACAGAACGGGCAGTGCCAGCCCCAGCCCAGCACAAAATTAAGTGAGTTAACGTGTGCCCAGCGCGGGGCTGGCTGTGCTGCTGGGGCTTTCGGGACACCAGAGGCAGGCATGGCAGCGGCCAGGGGGAAGCGAGAAGTGCCCCAGGGGCCGTCACGAGGTTCACGGTCTGATGGAGGATTAAATGCTCAGATCCCTGAACCTGGCAGCGGGGAGGCAGGAGGCCCTGATTAGCGGTCACGGGATGGGGCTGGGGGAGGCAGGGCCCTGGATCAGCGTTCAAGCTGCTGGAGAGCACGTCCAGGAGCTGCCCCCAACCAGCCCACTCGTTCCACCCCATGTGGCCCTACAGCTCCCCACTCCCCTCCTCTAACACCCCTGACCCCAAAATGCCCTTTCCCTGCCTGCTTTTGTCTTCCTAGGCGGCGGGGTTTTGCTACCTATTCATCTTCACCAAGAACACCCGTGGTTCCCTTCCTTCCGGCCTTTCAAACCCGAACGAGGGAGGGGATGCGCAAAACCGAAAGAGGAGAGGGGCCCACAGGCTCCCAGCCCCTTCCTCGCCCCCGCAGCAGACGCTGTGCCCCACGCCCCGGTGCCCTCCCCGGCGGCACGCGGCGAGCGATAAAACCCACGGGCGTGAATCCACGCCGCCAGACCAAGGTCTACAAACCTGCTGACCCATGGATTGTGGAACGCCCGGTCATGGTTGCTCAAACGCCCCGTCCCCAAATGCCTGTGGGTCCGAAGCACGTCCCAGCCCGTGCCAGCCCCGATGGAGAGGTCGGCACCGGGACTCGCCCGTCGGCCGCGTTCCTGTGGGGTTGCCGTGCCGGTGACTCAGCACCGTGCCCAGACCCCTCAGCCGTGCCAGCAGCTCCCACCTACCTCTCACACGGGCGCAGCGCGGAGCCCGGGGGACGGCGTGGATCCGAAGCAGGACGCAGAATTAGGAAAACCAAGCCGGCGGCACGACAAGCCCTCGCCTGCCCCGGCACGCCTGCCATTCCTCGAGGGATCAGCGCTGTTTCCTACGGCCCACCCTGGCCCCCCGAGCCCAGCACCCAGCACCCAGCACCCAGCACCCAGCAGCCGTGCCACGCTGCGCTCAGCAGGACGGGGCCGGGCAGGGCAAGGGGCAGGCAGCGAACCCCCCGCAGCGCCCGCCCCGTGTCCCCAGTGCCCGGCCAGCCTGGACTCTGCCCCGGCTCGGGCTCAGTCACGGCGCTGGGCTGCCGATGTGGCCGAGCACAGTTTCCAGTTGGTGCCCACCCCGGGGGGCTGCATTCCCACCAGGAGCAGGTGCTCCGCGAGGGGGCTGAGCTCTGTCTGAGTGGTCCCCTGGCAGCTGTGTCACTGTCCCCAAGGGGCTGGCAGGACACACGGGGGTCCCCAAGCCCCAGGCTCCATCCCTCCATCCCCGCTGGGATGCCCCCGGCAGCCCCCCGGAGCCCTCCCCAGAGCCAAGCGGTGCCAGGGCCAGCAGGACGCATCGCCTGGTGACCTTGGCCAGGGGACACCCCGGGGGGCACGGCTGCGGGGGGACCTGCGCAAGGGGAGAGGGGAAAGCCCCCCAAAAAGCCCCCCGCCCAGGGAATCCCTTTGGGGCGCTCCCTCGGGGCAGGGGAGCTCCTCAGGACGCCGGGGGGGATTTGGGGTGCGCGATGGCGATGGGGGTGCCCGGCCGTACCTGTGGGGCAGCGGGCATGGGGGCGGCGGGGCCGGCCCGCTGCCGCCGGAGCGGGACACGAGGAGGAGGAGGAAGAGGAGGAGGAGGAGGAAAAAGATTTGGGGGTCCCTCGGGAAATGTAGTCGCGCCCCATGTGCGCGGGGGCTCGGGAACTACAAGCCCCAGGGCGCAGAGGGCAGGAGGAAGGGGAGGAGGAGACGGGAGGAAGAGGAGGAGGAAGCAGGAGGGGAGGGCTGCGCATGGCGTGCCGGTAGCCCTATAACCGGGGCTGTGCGCAAACCCCAGCCCTGGCAGCATCTCCCGCAGGAAGCCAGAAACGGGGCATTTCCCAAATGTTGCCCCGCGCGTTGCCAGCCTGCGGGACAGCTCTGCCTGCCCCCGGGGGCATCACCGGGGTGGGACCCGGCTGTCAGCACAGCAGGGACCGAACCGTGGCCCTACACCGGGCCCGGAGCCGAGAGCACGCTTAGAAGCAAAGGAGGAGGAGGAGGAGACCCCCAGGAGCAGGACCCGGGGCTGGTGCCCCCCTGTGCCCCCTCTGCGGGGCCGTGGCGCAGGAGAGAGCCGGGGAGCATCCTCCCGCCCCCTTCCCTCGCAGTTATTCTGCCAGAAGCAAATGCGACCTGACAGCCCTCGGCTACTCCGCTGAAATATTTATGATGCCCCCGCACCCGCCTGGCAGCACGGAACTGGGCTCCCAGTCTGGGCATTGCTGGTGCTGCCCAGCCTGGGGGGCGTGGGGGGAACAGACCCCCTTGTACCCAGGGGCCCCCGTGAGGACGTCCCAGTAACCCCAGCTAAATTTAGATGTTTACCTTTTTTCCCCTTCTTTTCTCAGCCAAACAGAGCCGGGATGTGTTGTTTGGACGGGGACGTGCCGGGTGGGTGCACACCCTGCTGGGTATCCCCCATCCCCTGCCTGTCCTGCAGGCAGGGCTCTGGCTTTGCCACGGTGCTGGGTGCTGGCTTGAAAAGCAGCCCGGGAGAAATTGGGGTGTGCACAGGCTTCACCGGGGAGTTCTTGTTTTACCTCGTCCCTTTGAAAGTAACCAGAGAGGCCTGTTGGGACTGTTGGTTATTTGTAGGGGCCGTTGGTTATTGGTAGGGGTCGTTGGTTATCTGTAAGGGCCAGGTCCCTCCCTTGGGTGGCATCCCTGCCCGTGGCAGGGGCTTGGAGTTGGCTGACCTCTAAGGTCCCGTCCTACCCGAGCCCTTCCATAATTCTCATGTGCTGCAGGACCCGGGATCAGGAGCCCCCGGGTGCGCACCCCTAGCACCCTGGGGACCCTGGTGGGACCCCCCGCAGCACCGCCCGCGCCCCCCAGCCACACAGCCCGGCATCCAGCTCTCAGCAGCCCCCCTCCACCACCCCCAGCTCCCAGGGGAGCGGGGGCACCCCCGGCTGCACCATCACGGGGCAGCACCCCCAGGGAGCACAGGGCTGGCATCCCCCGCTGCCCCGCCGGGCTGCCGGTGGCGGTCCCCGGGTGGCAGGGAGGGGAGGGCCGGGCATGCAGCGGGCAGGCAGAGAGGCAGGACGGGGGGGCTCAGCTCGCCGGGGTGGGCAGGGCCTGCGGGGCCGGGCAGGGCGCACCCAGCTCCCGCAGCCGCCGCGCTCGGAGCCAGCCCCGCCGCGCCCGGCGGCCTCCCCCCCCGCCGGCCCCTTCCCCAGCCTCCCTCCCCGCTCCCCCCTGCCCCTCTCCTCCCTTCCCGGCCCCCTCCTGTACCCTGCCCCCGGCAGCCCCCAGCCCTCCCCATCCTCTCCAGAGCCCGCCCGGCCGTCGCTCCATCCGTCCGTCTGTCCGTGCGTCCGTCCGGGGGGCAGGTAGGAATTCCTCCCCTTCCCCGGGACTTGGCTCCCCCGCGGGTGCCTAGGGCTGGGGGCGGCGGGGTTCCCCGTGGGCAAGGTGCGGGGGCAGCCCCCTGCTTTCTGCCGGGCCGAGGATGCTCTCCCCGGGCAGCAGCGCTCCGGGAAGGTGTCCGCGATCCCCCGGCGGGGCCGTGCCATCCTCCCGCTCCGCTCGGAGTTGGCTCCCATCCCGGCACGCCGCTTGGCTGGGCGAGGGCAGCTCCCAACAAGCCCCAAAGTTCGCTGTCCCCACGCGGGACAATGCCGGGGGAAGCACGCGTGGGCCCTGCGGGGTGGCGGCGGGGATGCTGTGCTGCTGCTTTTCGGGTGCGCAACAAAGGCACGTCGAGCCCCCCGCTCTGCACCTCCAAGCGCCCGCCGAGCAAACTCCTCACCGCACCCACAGCTGGGGGAGGAAGAGGGCCTGGACCCCTTTTTTTTTTTGGAGCACACATCTCCGAGCACCCTAAATCATCGGGCATCCCACCTCCTCCGGCGGCCGCAGCGCTGCGGAGCGTCCCCACCCCAGCGCGGATGCTGCATGGCCCCCCGGGAATGGCGCAGAGCCCTGCGTCCTGGGGTCACAGCTCTGGTTGGGGAGAGCCCCGTGGGAGGTGAGGAAGGCACCCCAAATCCCTGTGAGCTACCCGGGCTTTCTAGGAGGATGTATTTCCATCTGGGAGGATGCGATGGGGAACCCCCTGCCCAAACTTGTGTCTAAACTGCGGAGGCGCAGCTCTGCCACGCAGTCCCAGGCAGGTGCCAAAAGCAGTGCCAGCAGCCTCGGGGTGGGTCAGAAGATGCTCGGCCCTTGTGCTCCGGGTGCAGCCAGGACCCTGTCTTGTTCCCCTGGGCTGTGCAGAGGCCCCAGGCGAGCGTGGGCTCGTTTCGGGGCTGAAGCCCACTCCCACCCACCCGTGGCTGAATTAAGACAGCACTTGGAAGTGATCGAACCAAATGTTTTCCTTAGAAAACAGCAAAACAAAGCACTGCAAAGTGTCTGCCTTATTTTTGGGGTTGCTTCTACCTGTTTGTTCAGCCCATCCTCGCCCCTAACCTGAAGCCCCCAAGCCAGCCAGACCAGACTGGGGTTCCTGCACCGCTCTGCTGGGGTCGGGATGCTCAACGCCTCTGTGTGGCTCTGCCCTCTGATTTACCCATCTCTGGCTGTTTCTGGGGGTTTGTCACTGCTCTGCCGGGGCTCCCTGCCACCCATGGAGGGTGGCCTCATCCCTGGGGTGCAGACAGCCCTCGTGGTGGTGACCGAGGGTCCTGGAGCCGGCGTCTCACCAGAAGGGGTTAACCCCGGCGCTTGTCTCGGGTGTCCTGCTGCTGGCTGCTTTGCATCAGGGTGCGGTAAAAGCTTTTACGCCTTGGCTGGCTTTCAAGGGCAGAGGCTGGAGGATGACTCACGCTCCCCTGCCGCCAGCCACCGCCGAGGAGCAGCAAACCTGTTGTGCTGGCGGGCGCAAGGTGACGGCTCCCTGAAAATGCAGACGCGCCTGGAGGGTCCCCGGGGTGCAAGCAGGGGGCTGTCCCCGGGGGTTTGGGGTGCAGCATCCCTTCAACTCCCCTCCCTGTCGTCCGCAGGGCACGAGGTGCTGCAGACCCAACGCCACCAGATGCGTCTCCGCGCCGCGCCGTGCTGGGGACCGTCCCCGGGGGTAAGCGGGGGACAGAGGCACAGGGGAGGCTGGAGGGGAGGCCAGGGCCAGGCCACTCCGTGCCACGAGGCTGGCGGGCATGCCCAAGCCCCAGGGACATGGGAAGCGGGGTGATTTATGGCGAGGTCCCTGCTGGTTTCGAGCACGGGCTCAGCCTCGTGCTCCCAAAACGAGGCGAGGGTTTTGGGAAGCGGCCGTGCACGAGGGCGCACGGGCAGGGGGGAAGGACCGAGCTGCTGCTGTCTCCCCAAATGCTGGAAATGGGATGAATAAGCTTGGAAAAGGAATGAATACGCTTGGAAAAGGAATGAATACGCTTGGAAAAGGGATGAATAAGCTTGGAAAAGGGATGAATAAGCTCCGGCCCAGGCACAGCCGGGCTGCTCGGTGGTGCTGGGTTGCCATCTAGTGCTGCCGCTGAGCCCTGTGGAGCAGGGCTGACGTCTGCCTCGGGGATGGTGTCAGAGGAACAGCAGCAGGTCCACGTCGGGGCTGCACCTCTCTGCGTCCCTCTGGCTTGGAAGGGACGTGTCCCAAACCAAAACTCACCTCCTTTTTATGCGTTTTGGGGGAACTGCTCTTGCTTGGCTTTGTGCCAGCATCTGTGCTCAGGAATTCACACCAATTTTTGAGCTTTCAGGGTGAAATAATCCCAGCTGGACACAGCTTCAGGCAGCCTGGTGTTGTCCTGCTCAGGGCGTGAGCTGGACCAGAGACCTCCGGAGATGCTTCCAGCCCAAAGCACCCCACGAGTCCGTCCTTTGTTCAAACACCAAAATAATTCACTGTGTAAAGGCTTTTACGTGACAGAGAACACAAAGGCAATGTTTTGGGGAGCTGTAGGAAGCAGACCCCGGGGTGTCCCTGAGAAAAGACCCTTCCCTGGGAAGGTGCCGCCGGCTGCTCTGTGGGGCCGTGGTGGCCTTGGCTGCTGCGTGCAATGCACCTGGAGGCAGGCAGGCAGCTTGGGGAGCTGCAGTGCCAAAAGGCAGCAGGCACAATCCTGACATTTATGACATCTGTCAGCTTTGGGGACGATGCTCCTGCTGCAGCTGCTCGGCGTGCTCTGTGGCTCCGGGGGCTGGCTGCCCCTCCAGGGGAGGGCAGCAGGAGGAGGAGGATGCCCCGGGGACGCCCAGCATCAGGAGGGAGATCTTGCAGGACGTGTGGGGCTGTGATGGGAAGGGTGGTGAGTGCGTGGCGAGGTGCAGAGAAACAGCCCCAGAGTCCCTGTTAGCCCAGCCTCAGTCCCCATCTCCCCCAGGACATTTTGTTGCAGGTGGGCTCTGCGCTGGGGGTCCCCAAATATGGTCCCCCTGTGGATGACCCCAAACAGCCCTGTTTAATGGACCTAAACCCCATCCTCCCACAAAAGAAAGGAAGGATTCTGGATTCTGCTGGCTTTGGCCTGAGGAGGGAGGGAAAGGCAAAAAGCTGAGCCTCCCCCTCACCAACCCGTTTGTCCTCTAAAAGATTAGTTCCCCTGCCCTGGCTTACGGGGATTTGCAGCCGCTCCATCTGCTCTGCCCAGTGGGGCCGTGGGTGCCGGGAGGAGCCCAGTGGCTGTCCCCACTCTGGGGTTTGCTCCCGGGGTTTTGCAGCGCCACTGCCAATGCAATGGGCTGAAGCAGCTGCCCTACAAATGGGGCAGGGTGTGGGGCAACGTCCAGGCACCGGGGACAGCACGGCTGCTGGGATGTGGCTGCCAGCCCGACCTCCGCACAGCCCCCTGCAGTCTGTGGGTGCCCCACAGCTTTTTTTGCCGGTTTGCAGAGAGGGAGGAGAGGCAGAGCCTGGGAGTGAGCCCCCAGAGCTGCTCTTGTGAGCATGTAGAAGGCCATGGGGATGCTCGAGGGGTGGGGGGCAGCTTCAGGGAGGTGGGTGCCCGCTAAAACCCCGTGGCCAAGGGGGAAGCAGGGAGGTGGGGGCAGGCTGGGGGAAAAGCATCATCTGCAGGGGGAGAGAAATGGGCTTTGCAGGCAGACCTGCGGTGCCTGATAGGGCTTTGGGGATAAACTGGGGGGGTTCTGGCTCACGAGTATTTTAGGGACGTGTTTTCTGGAGGTGAAGAGCGAGAGGAGCGACGAGGGGCTCTCCTCTCTCCTGCTCCATCGCTCCCATCTCGTCAGCAGGCACTGGGGAAGGCGGCGGGTAGCAAAGGGGCTGGAGGTAAGCTGGAGGAGAGCTGGTGACAAGCGGGCTGGCTGGATTTATAGGGACTGACTGAACTGGGTTTGTGGAAGCGCCGGGGGGCTGGCGGGTGGTGCCGGGGCTTCGCCGAGCGCCATCCCGCACCCGAGCTGCTGCGGCACCGCTGCAGTGTGGAGAGCACGGGGGGATGCAGGACGCTGGAGCCTCTGCCCATGCCCTGACGGCGAGGTGTCAGCCGGGAAGTCTTTTACCTTCACCTCGCCTCCCCAAATGGACAATGTCTCCGCTCATTAGGCACCCACCCAGGGGGCAGATGTCAGCTCGGCTCATGCAGCTCTCGGCTTTTCTCAGCTCGCCGCTGCCGCAGCTCTGACGGCCTCGGAGCGCTCAGCTCCCATCACGTCAGGTGGCGGCCGCATCCTGCATCTTCTGCCCACCCCGCCTGCCCCCGGCGGCTCCTCCGCAGGAGCTGCTCACCTTCCTCCCCTCCTAAAGAACGCGGCCTCCGAGGATGCTTCATTAAAAGGCTGGGAAATAATGGGCACCGGCGGCACGCGTGCGCGCGCGGTGCTCGCTCGGTTTTTCCTTGCCGGGCAGCGCCTGGGAGGAGAAGCCATCACTGCAGCCTGCCTGCTGAGGCTGATGCGTCCCGACAGCTTGCTCACTGGGACATTAAAATCATTGCCTCTGTCTGTGTAAAACGCACAGCGAGCCGGGTGATGGGAACGCAGGTCAGGGGAGGATTGTTCTCTCCCCTTTGCGCCAAGCAGGTCCCACCCGGGCAGGAGCATGGCACCGGTCCCCTCTGACACCAAGTGGGACGTTCCCTTTCTGGGGTGTGTTTCTGGGGAGAGCATCCCAACCCCACCAGTGCATCCCCCCAGTCTTTAACCAGGGGCTTTGGTTTCCCTGGGGGGCTTCAGCAAAGCGAGGGGATGCCTGCGAGCCCCTCTCTGAACCCATGATCCGAAGGCAGGCCAAGGAAAGTGGCACTACAGGTGCAGAGTGCTCACAGGTGAGGACATCAGGCTGATTTTATTCAAGGCATCTGTGCAGGCAGCTTGCACTAGTCATTAAATAGTGGTGCATGGCCCCCTCTTAGGGGTTTGCAGTCTGCAGAAGGGGCAGGCTGGGTGCCGGAGCAGGCATCACGGTCACGGTCAGCACAAAAATGTGCCCTGGGCACACCCTCTGTGATTCCACCGTTCAAGCCCAAGTCTTGCAGGATTTTTGAGCACAGGAATGTGATGGCTGAGGCCTTCAGCACACACAGGTGGCATCAAGCAAGAAAACGGTGCTGCCGAGCTGATATTGATGGTATCCCAAGGTACTTTCATTTATTTATATTTTTTTCCGGGAGCAATAGGCGTAATTTTGCTGGGATCTGGACACCTTTGCTGGGAGTTTTGCAGAGCCGTCCTGGAGAGAGGCTCTGGGAGGTGATGGCGAGGATGGCAGTCAGCAAGCAGAACAAAATGTCACTTGGCTGTGAGCTTGTGATGCTGCCTCCTAACGCAGCCGCTGACTTGCACTGGCCACATCCTGCCGTGGTCAGGGGCTCGCCCTGCCTGGCAGCCTGTGAGCGTTTGGGCAGGAGGGCTGTGATGCACATAACGAGAAGCAGAGCTGCTGGAAAATGGACTGATATTTGATTAGGAAAACTGCTGACAAGCTCCTTCATGAAGCGTTTCCTGGATGCTTAGACTTATCTTGGGCTAAGCTGGGAACCGGGGCCTGGAAGACAAATAAACCATGCTTTTCTTATGAATTCTCAATAGCCTTTCCCCCAAAATGCCTAAAAGATTTCAAGCTTAGGCCATATTCTCCCTGGGGAAACACCCAGCCAAGACCCAAGCAGCAATGATTTTGGGAACGGGCTCCTCTCCATGCACCTGAGCACATGGTGCTACGGCTGTGGTGTGGGGCTGATAAAAGGGAACGGGTTTGTAACCTTGAGTGAGCGTATGAGAGCTGGGGATTTGACCTACATGGCAGCTCAACCTACAGCAGCAGCCGAGCTTCATTTTTTTCTTCCTTTTCTCAACAGAGGAGCTGGTCACCAGCAAAAAAATAAATAAAAATCCCAAGGATTCCCCTTTTTGGGGCTGTTTTCCTTCCCCGTGTGGGTGGGGTGCCCTCAGGGGTGCACGGGGTCCTGAGGTGTCACGCTCTCTTCCAGGTGCTCCCCTGCTGCCCGTGCTGCTGACCCCCAGCCCTCTGCCCCACGGCCCCCCCGCCAGCTGCTGCTGCTCCTCCAACGGTGAGTTGCACCCCGACACTGCTGCTGGGAGGGCTTTGCTGGGGGCTCGCACCCGCTGGGAACCGTCAGGCACCGGAGCAGTTTCCATCTGCAAAGCTGTCGGCGCCCTGGTGCGTTCAGAGCAGCCCCAAGCTCCAGAGACGAACTAGGGGGCTGCAGCTCGCCTGTCCCGCTGTTCAAAGAGCATTTTGGGCAGTGGAGAGGTTTTCCTGCCCTCTGGCACTCGGCTTATTAACTGCTCAGGCTGCTCGATTGATCGTATTGACGGGTAGTGCATGCCCCAGTTAACTTATTGGGAGCAGCAGCGAAAATGAAGCAATGAAAATAACCCTGCGCCCACATCGCCGGAACGTGTGGGACTGCTTCCCCTGCCTTTGTGGCTTGGTTTCTGGATGCAGCAGAGCCCCGATCCCCATGGGGGCACCTGCTGGGGTCCTGCTCCTCCACCCAGCTCTGCTGGTGCATACAGCTTGGGGGCTGCTGGGGCAGGAGCTGCCCAAGCGGGCTCCTGGGGGCTTTGCTGCCTGCCCCACAAACAATCCCAAGGTGGTGCTCCCAGTGGCAAGAGAAGCCCCTAGCTGGCCCCATGGGGCTGTTTTAGCCCGATCCCAATCCCCCTGCTCGTTGGGCTGGGGCTGCACCATGCCTGACCTCTCCTGTGCCCGGCCCCACAGGCTCCTGCCGCGGCCCCTGGCTCCTGCTCCATGCTCAGCATGCCCCTGTCTGGCGGATCCGGACCTGCTGAGGAATCGCTCTGGAGCTCGAGGCCAGCCTGCAGGGTAAGGTAAGGCACACTCGGCCCCTTTCTTCACCTCTGTATCATCAGCACATGGAGCCCCTGCCCAGTCCTGTGGCCACAGAGGCTCCCATCCTGCTGCACTTGGCTGCTCGCTTTCGGACACGTTGGTCACGCAGCTGAAGGGCTGAGCTGGGAAGAGCAGAGATGGAGTCGTGTTCATCAGCCACTCTGCCTTTGTTACTAAAATAGATCTGCTGTGGCCTGAGGCCGTCATGTTGTCCCAGGCATTGACTATTGCAAATGGATGGCAGGGCAACATTTTCCATTAGTAAAGAGGAGGTCGTGCGTCTCGTGGGGAGAAGACAGCCCCATAAAGCAGAAATGCTCTAGCATCTGACAAACCCACCTCTCTCCTCTCCTTTTCCTGATAAACGTGCCCAGGTCACTAACAGGGATTAGCACACACGCTGCTTTCTGCACGCAAAACCCCGGGAGACATCTGCCAGAGCAGCACTGCATATCTGCAAAAAGATGTCGAGTTTGGAATAAGCGGACAAAATATCAGGAAGATTTCTCAGGGGAGCTGCAGGGGTCCTGCTAAGATGCAGCTGGGGTGGGATTTGCCCAAAAAGGGCTCTGTCTCTTCCCCACTTGCAGGCATCCCCTGAGCACAGGGAAGGGCTCCCCGCAGCCAACTCTAGGGAAAACCAGGACATGTCCTCGCTGGGCTGCGTGTCCAGCCTGGGACCGAGCCCCCAGACTGTCCTCCCACAAGCTCTCATGGCCCCAGTCTGTCTGGCATGTGCGGTTATCCTCTGGCCTCAGTGAGGACATTTTTCTGCAATAAGTGGCTGTTAAGGCATCATTTGGATGAACATCGTGGCATCCCGCAGCTCCCACCTCCTGCAGGAAGGTCTCCAGCCTTGATTTTCTGCCTTCCCACGCTCCCTGCCAGAAATCCCATCCCTTCTCCCAGGACCGCCACAGCCCCAACCTGGCATCCACGGGCAGGAGAGGAGCCGGGTGCAAGCCAGGAACTGTGGCTTGGTTTTTGTTTTGTTTTGTTTTTTTTAAGTGTAGCTGCTGAAAAGCACAAAAAGGTGGAACAGTGTTTCATCCTTTAAATTCAGATGTGCTACCTAATTTTTGGCAACACTGTAGATACTGGGGAAGCCTAAAAGAGGGCTCCTTCCCGGGGGGACCATATGGCACTGGGAATTGGCTGCTGGTCCATCCAGCACCTGGGCAGTGTTGGTGCTGGGGCAGAGCTGCCCGGGGGCTGGCAAGGTGCTCCCGTGGAGGTGTCCGTGCTGGCAAAGGGAAGAGCTGGCTATGGTGTGGCATGAGTCTGGCTGATGACAAATGATTTCCCAGTTTGACCCTTCTGCTCAATCTGAACGTGAAGGTGAATCGGCAGAGCTGACGGCATCGATCCGGGCCGCGGGCGACCAGCGCCGTGCCCCATGGAGGGCTCGGCCACCGTCGCGTGGTCCCTCTCGCACTGCTTTTTCCCTGCCCTCCCCTTCACGCCTTTCCAAAGCCATCCGTCAGAGCTCGGCACCATGCTGCTGACCTTGCTGGGAGCCAGGGGCACGGTGTCCGCCACGTCCTGCCCGGCTGCTGTGGATGCAGGAGCCGAGTGGCCACGCCGGGTGCCGGGGAGCAGGTCTCATAGGTGGGGGGAATTTTCTGCTGGGTTGGTGGCCGTGTGGCACCTGAGGGTCTGGGTGTTGTAACAGGCAAGTGAGGAATTCGTGGTGTTTGGTTTGGTTGCGGAGCAAAACGTGGCTGGAAGCATCTTCACGCTGCTCTGGGAGGAGCCTTCAGATAAAATGCCACATGGACCAGAAAAGTGTATGCCTTTGCCATGCTGGGAAATAAAACATGAGCAGTAGCTTGGAAACCCAGAGCTTGCCTTTTCTAATACATAGAAAGCACTTTTCTGGGGAAGGAAAGATGATGCATCTTCCCTCAGCATCTTCCTTGCTTTAGCCGGGGATTTCCTGCAGCTGAAAACAACAAACCATTTTAATCTAAGTATTGCTTGTTCTGATCTTTTAATCCAGCTTGCTTTCTATCAGCAGAGCAGCCTAAAATCATTTCTCTGCCTGCCTGCCTATTATATAATTATCCAGCAGATTACCCGGGGCCAGATGTGGCTGGGCAGTGCTGAGGAGGGTGAGGGGGCCGTGAAGGAGCTCTGCGGGGCTAGGTGGGAGGCGAACTGGCTGCTTTGGGCCCAGGGGTCTGCGTCTCAGTATGCGATAGCAAGGAAGGTGATCCCTCGGCTCATGTTGGAGTAAGAGGTCCTGTTGTCTGGCTGGAGAAGTGTGACCCTCCGACCTGGGCAGGATTTCACTCAAAACCCTACTGATCTGATGCCTCCATCCTCATGCAGAGCATTGCTCTGGAAAACAGCCATGCCAGGAACTAGCAGCTGGGTGGGACGTGGTGGTGACACCAGGATGGGATGGAGGTGGTCAGAGCTGTGCTTCCTCACCAGAGCCTGATTTCAGGTGGTTCCTTGAGGAGCCTTAGGTCTTATCCGCAGACAATAAGGCCTCGAGCCCCTGGGAAAGAGGGTGGTTGGGGTCAGCTACTTCGCAGAAGCAACATGGCTAAAATTCAAGCTTCTGACTGACCCACACTGTGGGCTTGAGCCAGTAGGAGAAACAACAATATGTCTTAGGTTCCAGAAATGCCTTTTCTCCTCCTCAAAATGAGCGTCCTGACTCTAGTGGGCTGGTGCAGAAGAACAGCACCTAATTTAAATGTGTGAACCCGAAAACCTAGAGGCAAAAGGAACTCAACATTTCCTGTTCTCCAGTCACCCAGAAGAAAGGAGCAAGCTCCAGTGCTGCTCCATCAGCTCCCAGACCATTTGTGGGGGAGACTTTGAAGTGTTCTTTGAGCCTGGCGTGGCCATGTGGTGGGGGGAGCAGAAGGAGCCCCACCAGGAGCGTGCAGTACTCCATCTACCAGGCACCGAGCCTCTTGGTCCTTCTTCCAAGGCAGCTGTTAGAGCTGACCCTCTGCCTCTGAGGCAGGAGGTGCACTGGCTCTTGGAGAGGGTTGCAGCAACCAGGAGCAGTGCAGGGGCATGAGGTGGTCTTTTTTTTTTTTGCTATGAAATGGTTATCACGCACCCCTTTCCTTGGAGGCTCAGGGAGTGGATGTGCCAGCTGAGATCTGGGGTCTGCAGTCAGGGTTTCGACCTGGTCCTTCCATCACAGCTGGCTGTTTTAATTGCCAGCTGCCAAATGTGTGCAGCTGAACATGCTCCTCCCTCCCACAGGCACCATCCCTGGCCCATACCCTGCCCAAATGACTCTAAATTTCCCCATTATTCACAGGCAGAGCCCCAGCACCCATCTCGTACTGGAGCTCCTTTCCCCTTCATGTTGAAAGCGCTGCCTGGCTTGTTCTCATCGCCTCCAGGCAACCTGATTTGCTCAGTGGCCTTTAAAAAAAATAATAAAAAGAAAATCAAAGCCCACTGAAACGACAAAAGCATCGGTGGTGGGTGCATCCCCCTCTCCAGCAATCCAAGGGATTTGGGAGAAAATAGGTCACGTGCTCCCCATCCCGTGCCACGTGGTTGCCATCCCAGGGCCAATGAGGTTTGGAGCCCTCTGCGCTGTACAGCAAAAGATCACTGGGATTTTTTTCCCCGTAGCATTTTTCATCCTTTCCAAACGTGAAAAGAGTGGCCATCTGTGCGGACCCGTCACGCGAAATCAGCGCTAAGGCGGCTCTTTGGAGAAGGTAAGAAGATTTAAGAGATTGTGTTGGTGGAAGTCCACCTGCCGTGTGCAACTTTTCCCACAGATGAAAATTAGTGAAGAATCATGAAATGAGGCAGGTACGGAGCTCCGGTATGGCTTAAAAGAACTTTGAACCCTTAAGAAGGCTCTTAAGCGAATCTCGTAAGCGAATCTCTTGAGTAGAGAAAATTAAACTCCGTGTTGGACGGAGGTGGGACCATGGGAGAAAGGTAGTTAATGACTTAAGTTAATGACTGCCCCTCCAGTCTCCTCTAAAATATTTGGTTTTGCAGAATTGTCATTCTTTGTTGCAGAGTGCTTTTTATTTTCGTGAAATTCAATTTCGCCTTCATCTTGCGGCTAATGCTAGAAGATGGTATCGCAGGGTAGGGTACCTGTCTCTGCGCTAACTGGAACCTCCAGCCATCCCTCGCCTCTGTGATTAGCAGTGCGTGCCTTGGGCAGCGTTGGCTATGGGTGTGTGCGGGGTGGGAGAAGCAGAAATCAAATTGGCTTAAAGAAATTGATGCTGGAGTAACATAGATGTTGACTGCGTCTTGGTTTGTCAATGTCATAGCACCTCCAAATCTATTTGATTAAATTTTTACGTTTTGGTTCTATTTCCATGATTATTTTTTTTTTCTCCTGAACTGGGGAAATGCACTGAAATTGGATTTGGGAATAGGAACGCCTTTTATCGTGAGGCTCGCTCTTTTTCTTTAAATTTTTGTCATTGGATAACCATTTTACTTCTGGTAGCTACGTTTTTGATACCATTGCGTTTTTCCTGTTGCATTTTATTTGCTTAAAATATTTCTTTATAAGCATTAAAGTGAGCTATTAGTTTCAAAGGTTATGGAGGACTTAAATGCCGTTGAAATAAATCCCAAAATATCACATCCTTATTATAAAGGGAAAATGTTCTCAAGATGTATTTGTCTTGTAATCTGAGTTTTCTGGGATAATGTAGTTTTAATGTGAACCATATTAGAAAATCTCATTTTATTACTCGGAAGTCACGTCTGGCTTAAAAATAAACCAGAAACAGTGGATGAAGGGCATTGTGCTTAAGTTTCCATACAGTGATTGACCTTTGTTTTGACAGATGCAAAGGCAGATGCTAGCCTGCATTTTGATACAGAAACCCAACCCTGGAAAACTGCAGTTTTACGTAATATTTGGGGTTTCATGTTTAAGTCCAAAATAATTCAGTAACATTTCTGGAGCTCTTAATCTCAGACGTTTTCCCCCTCTCTTATGGATTAATTTGTATAAA